TATATAGGACAGACGGCCAGATAACTGCATACCAGAGTCAGAGAGCATAGTAGGAAAATAAACAGGCCGCCGGGAAACGCAGATGAATATCAAGCGTTACTGGAGGTCTCCGCAATCGCGGAACACGCAATGGACACGGGGCACAAAATAAACTTAGAAAATGTTGAGGTTCTGAGGCGAGGACTACGGTCCACCTCACAGAGACCGATAGCAGAGGCGGTAGAAACCGCCAAGCATACCAGCGTTAACAGAATGGAAAGCGTGGAACTGGCAAGCGTGTGGAGAAAGGTCTTGGGTCATTCGAGCTAACACGTGTTGGTGTGCGATCATCCGAGGAAAGAGCGGTCATCACCTGAACTCCACTTAACCTTACGCACCTCCCCTCCCCCCAACTAAATTGTCGTAACATTCACATCCCCCGATGATCAAGGATCTACCAGTGGCACCCGGGGTGAATCGTCAAGTGAAGCACCCTGAAGTGGAACATTAAGGAACGGAAAGCGATCGGAAGTAGTTTGAAACTCCTCCAACCCACCATTTCAAGATTTTGACACCCATGCTAGCCGATAAGAGCTGTTAATTGACACTCAACACTGGTCTAGTGCGAAGAGGACTTACTGATTGGTCCCCCGTCAGTTTTATAACCTGGCCAATTTGGTGACCTTTTCACTTGGCCTGATGAAGCTTTTGTGTCAAAAGCGAAACGTTGCGCAAATAAAAACTACCGATTGTTTACCAAGCTCTTCTGAAACGATCTCTTGAACCTGTTTGCTAAGATCCTCCCGTAGATGTGGCGGCAGCAAACGGCGACCGTGAGGTGTTCGTGTTCAATCCACGGGATAAAGACAAACGGATTTTCGTCACCAAACAGGTCCTAAACGATATTTAACTGATATGACAACTGCACCTATCGGGCAGTCGAAGTGAATCAGGCCAAACAAATACCTTCTTAATGGTGTAAGAGCCTGCGAGCCAAAATTCCATATTTTTATTGGTCCACATTCTGACCAATCAATGCATGGCCTTGTATTGTCCATAGCCGGCTCGCCACACCCATCCAGTTGACGTTGTGCAGTTATTTAGGCCTACTCCCTCCGAACGATTGTTCCTCGATTCACTTCACTTCCTCAACCCACAAATGGGGCTCCAACGTGCAGTTGCCCCAGACAGTGCAGCTTCGCTCATCGGTGATAAGGAGAATGAGGGAGTGAGAACGATGCTTTGAAGGTGACCGCTCAGTCCATGCGTTTACAACGAATAGATCTGTTTGTTCAGTGTGACAGGAAATTTGAGCTGACCCGTTAAGATGACAGCTTCGATGGAAGATCACTATTGGGTGCGTGATAGTCATATCTGAAGGTCACCAGCCGTTGGTTTCTCTTATCACGAGTCTCACCGGGAAGATGGTTGTTACGAACGTGATTGAGTTGACCAATAAGGACTTCCATGCGTCTTTGTCAAGCCCTGGATTTACTTGACAATCTGTCTCCATCAGATACCGTTAATATTGTTGCCCAGTTGTGTGAAGCTTGTTGTACGAGACTAACGGTTCTCCGACATACGAGATACGTGGACTTGGACCAGCCGATCCACTTAGGGAGAGTGGACTTTTACAAAAGTCATCTGGCGTACCTCAGCATTACTTATCTGCTGTACCCATCAGACCCGTGAAGTAGTTCGGAGGCACCTTTGATAAAACAGCATTCAAAGGTCCTCTACAAACATTGACCAAGTCTGACACAAAGTAGGACAGATTGGACCCCAGCTTTGTATAGTCAAACCATGAGTGTGCAGGTTAGCAAGCGAGCCCTGGCCTTACTAACACGAAAGGTGTTTTCGTCATTCACCAGTCCACTGGGACCTCTGCAACTTCCTAGGTAAACGAACTTAACTACCGCGGTTCGCTTGAAAGCATGGGATTTGGATTCGACTTCATTCAATCTAGCACCAGTACTTCATACTCTGTAGTTGCAATCTGTGCAACAAAAATATTTCAGTTATTTGAAATACTTTGCATTTCTAAGGAGTCTGATCGAAGAGGGGCGATATCATCTGTATACTGTATGTCCGTGACTGAACGCTCTGTGAGTATTTCGATCCCCGAGATATCAGAGGCGGGTAAATGAGACTCCAGCACAACATCGGTTAGGGAGTTAAAGAGAAAGGGCGACAGAGGACATCGCTGTCCGACACCAGTAAATGTGGTGAACTTAGAATAGACTCCTCCGTAGAGATGTATGGGAAAATGCATTTAGATTCCTTTTAAGAGAAAAGAAATTTAAAGGGATAGTATTCATCGCTGGTTCCAGTCGTTTTCCAACGACCAACGGAGTCGAAAGCCTAATTGTGATCGAGAAAGAGAACCATTGTTAGTCGTTGAAAGAAGTAGCGCAGCTCCAACGCGTGCCGCAAATTGAAGGTCGATATAACCCAAACCAGCGCGGGACCCTGTCTGATATGAATCTGACTCTCCCGATCGAACAGTTTTCTTAGGGTGATACCAGAAAGCGCCTTGTAAGCTAATGCGCCGGTGGTTTTTGCACGACGTTCTTGAACCCTTTTTGAATATGAGGTTGTAGTAGCTGCTTCGGTGTGTCAGAGTTTGCGTGTGTGCGTGTCCGTTCGTCGTTCCACCATCGATCTGACGTGTGACTTGAGTGGCTGATTGGGCGCGTGTCCGATTGATTCGCTCGTGTGCACGTCGCGGGTTGACTGGATATGTGACGCAGACCATCGATCGACGTGTGACTTGAGTGGCTGATTGGGCGCGTGTCCGATTGATTCGCTCGTGTGCACGTCGCGGGTTGACTGGATATGTGACGCAGATGTTTGCTTACTCGCCACGAAAGCGGACCATTTGGCTGCGTGTAGTCAATGCGCCCGTGTCCTTACGTGCTTTTCTGACTTACTGTGAACTACAATAGATGGATAGCCCTGGTGTTTAACCCCCTGCAGCGTTCGTTCTCCACTGTCAGCAGGGTGATTTTGCGGTACATGGCCATACAGGCAGCGTACTGGAATGCTACTCGGACGCTAACCTGCGATTGAGCGACGATCGAAGCTGAAAGCTATGCAGCAGTCAGCCAAGCCCCCCTACTACTTTAGCGATCTGGAGTCAAGGTCACCACAGACTGGGGAGCGCAAGAAACGTTCGAAATAAGATCAGTTTTACAAATGGCAGTGAACCGACCCAAGGTGTTTTCAGGTAAACACATACGAGAAAGAATGAAACAAACGATGAGGGAGGATTGTTTCTATGCGCGCGTGCGTTGGTGTTGATGACAGGATAGATATCCAGGGAAGATCATGGGATGAGAGACACAGATGACAAGGAAGAAGGTCGGATAGAAAAAGGTGCAAAACACGTGAGAATTACCTATAAGGCTGAAAGTAAATTAACCATGAGCCCAGCATACACTGATGGCGAACCAGGACGGTAGCAGCAAGCTAAAATATGCAAGACCGGAGCAGAGATTTGAGATTTGAGAAGACACTGGCAAAAAATATTGATGACTGATGTAATTCGTCCTTTACTTAATCATCTAAGGACTACCCACGTTATTTACACATTTTAAAAGTGCTCACCAGCTAACACTGCTCAGAGTTTTCTGGATTTTACCTTTATCCGGATTAGGTAAACACCTCGTGTCTATCTAGATTTCGTCCTGTACGTAAAACCTGACTGTACTAAAAAGCTAAGAAGCACTGCATAGCTGTCTCGTCCTTATTGGGAATCACCAGCAGTGCGAACTGCCGACTGGCAATTGGAACGCTCAACCGTTAGGCCGTAATCAGCTGATCAGAAGTATGGTTATTTGACGAAATACACTCAGTCATGTCATAGACAGGGAACAAGCCTTCACTATCATATACCAGGTACCTCTGAACCGATCACGACTGGTACGATCCAGGCTACTATCGATCGCAGAGGCGATTGGAATCCGACTGCTGGATCCACAACTTTGCATCTGAAAGAAACTTGTGTGACCTCTGAACTTGAACTGGCCTATGAAACATCCGGTCTCACAAATCTGTTTGACATTGATGTCACTTATCTGATTCCGCGACCCATTGACCTAGGGCTCATTCGACCCCCTTCCTTCGATTTCTATTTCTCTAAAGTGTATGTACCCCGGATTTTAACCTTTTCCACGTGTTCTTTGACGGGTAGAGGATGAAGGCCATCTGGACAAGATGTTTTGTTGCGCTAAAGCAATGAGGTTGCTGTTAGTAAACTAGTGTCGGTACCCTACTCAATTTTATTTAATCTTCGCGGATGTTGAGCTGGTGCAGACCATTTAAACTGGTCTTCAAATTTTTCAGCTTGTCGTTCAAGACAGCCTTTCTCTGCATGAGTTGGGTTCCATCCTTTTCGGAGACCGTCTCACTAACGTCTGCCCTTAGACCAATCGACCAGATTGGCTGGAACAGGATGCCAAGACCTCTGCTTCCTAGAATTTTGCGCTCTTCTTCAATCCTTAGGCTCTTCATTATTAGGCGTTCGTGAGATCTACTGGTGACACCGTAGTCATTTTTGCTCATATAGCTTTCCTGGCTTCAGTTAGGGTTGCTAATCGGAACGGATTCAGTGTTTATGGTGGTATGCGGGCGACCTCAGGCAGGCAGTATCACAGACTATGAGCATGGGTTTCTTCATTTTTCCCCATCCAAATTACCCTTGTGTTTCTCGAGTTCTGGGTACTTTTGGGCCAACTCACCTCGATATTTCTGGACTGCAGAAACTTTGCAGTTGAAATAAGTTGCTTTGTATCAATCGACATGTTTCAGAAGAATTGCAACTAGACTCGCATATCCGCACAATGCGGTGCTTGGGTGTCCAGTGGTGTACTATCTGTATCTTCGACTACCTACCTTTCGATCACCGTACTGCTAGAAGCATTAGCAATGTGATGAGATATCACAAGAAACCAATTTACCCATATGTGCTGGACACACCATATTGTTTTTGCCCAAAAGTGCAATCGAATAGGAGCTGTGTACAAATTCAGACTTCACCATGTTGGATTAATTGGTCTGCTGCATCTGACCTATAATTGCTCTACTACACTTCAGCCATATTTGATTAATGAAGTGTCCCCTGGATAGTGTGAATGAAGATGTTCAACAACTCATTCTGAGACTGAAACAACGCGAAAGTACGATCGACGGTTTGTGCAATGAGATTGGTCAGATTCAAGCGCAGTTATCCAACATCCGACAGGTGAGTTTTGCCCTTTTTGTTACGGGTTTTGGGCCCCACCTAGTTCGCTCCACTGTTGTATGGGCCGAGCGTTTCGATTCATAGTTGCTTTGGTGACGTGGATCAGACAGCTTGAAGGCTATCCAAGATTAGCCTGAATCAGTGGAGAAATTAGGGTTGAACTTGAACTACAACCTTTTGTTCTTTTAGCTTTTTATATTATTGTCAGCCTGCGTTATCTCGAGCTCTAGACCGTTAAAACCAGTGGTTCTCAAACCCTTCAGCTCACAGTGACCCAATGATCACCAAGTATGGTTGGCAGTTAGATGTCTCATAAATTCGACGAGCTCACTCGGCGCTGGAACCGCGGCAAAGGTGGTGGATTATACTAAAACTGGTGTCTAGATGTTTCGTCTCATCAGATTAGACTGACGTCCTTTGTCCCACAATATGTTTTTTATTTTTTGGTTCCGGGAGGGAAGAAACTTCGTGTGACGAGTAGTAGGACGTTAGTGAACCGAGAAGCGACAAGCAGGTAACAACGGTACATCGTTGACAATTATTTCAGCTTGTTTTGAAAAAGCCGTGTATCTTAAAAGCCATCGCCATCATCATCAACAGCATGACATCAGTGTTCAACACCGGTGCTTCACTGCTGTACAACCATGATTTATTTCAAAGACTTATCGTGAAGAGAAGAGTAAACGTGGACGAGGAAGAACTTATTGCTAGCCTACTATAATCAGTTCGAGGTGCCTAAACCTTCAGCACTCACTCAAGTAATCTGGGTAGAAATTAACAGGAGAAACGCCACCGATATCGGTTGGCAGCCATATCTTGTAGTGTCTCCAACCAGGCGCAGTGGGGATCACGCGATCCACATCCTGAAAGGCGAGTAGCACCGACCTAAAAGCCAGTAAGTTGCAAGATCTCATCGCATCTCATGGGATAACGGCTCATACAGGAGACTGACCATGAATACCACTCACATGATGAGTTTTTACTTTTCCAGCCGGTTCTTTTTGGTCCCAATTGAACTGACTTAAATGCATGAATTAGGGACACTCTTCGTTGTTGGTAAATGCATCACTCAGGAGGTTTCGAAAATGCAACTCCAAAATGAAGTGATCTAAAGACTTTACATTCGTTTGCTTAACTTGCTCTGGATGAACTAACATCATCATGCATTAAGCGCATCGATACCCATTTTTTCATTAAATCACAAACACGAGCGCACGCAAAGCTAGCAAAGCCCTCAATGTGCAGGGAACTTTATTCCATGTATAGGACTGTCCCGCAGGATTATGTTACGAGCCTTCGAGCTATAACTCTCGAGGACTTTCAAAGTGTCTCCTATACTGAGATATTCCCCATATGGTGGAGAAGAAACCTACTGCATACCTTCTGCACTGTGTTCGGGGGGGGGGTTGAACAACCTTCTTGAGGGTTGGATGGGGTTTTCCGTCTTGTCGGAAGTAAATGCTCCTGATATTCACGTATAATAGAGCAAAATGGTAAATGGTCGATGATTTTCAGCCCACTCTTCTAGGTCATTGGAAGCTCGTCTTTTCTCACCTGACTAAACATGAATAGGAAATCCTTGACAAAACGAGCGATCATGACTGAAACTGATGGATGAAGAAAATCCAAGATCTACCGTGTTATCACGCGCTGCCCTGTCCTATACTTCAGTAGTGTTATCCACAATCCATACTTCAGTTGTGATCCAACGGATTGGCTGTGCACGTTTAGGGTCAGATTATCCATGAGATCGAATTTATTCTAGTCGAAAAACAGGTTAGTATATTGGCTGTATTCACTACATTTACTCATTGAAGTGATGGTCACCTAACGAGCTTAGGTCGGTGGCATAGGGCGTTCAGGTTTGATGTGTCCTGATGTGAGGTGAACGATCAAAAGATGTCCCTTTTGCTTGCAACTAGGCCTATTCCGGAGCTCGGCCGACGAACTGACGGGTAGCTGATCAACAACCAGTAAGCTACCCGATCTACTAATATTTTCACATAACTTCCCCTTGAATGTAGATAAATCCCTCTTCGGTCCGTCGAAAAGAAAAGTATTGTATCTTTTTGTGCTTCTCATGCGTGGCTTTTATAGGTGGGTCGATTGCACTACCAATCCTGAATAATTGCCGCAATGACAATGAATATAGATCAACATTTCAGTGAGCTCGTCATCATTTATAAGAACCGCGTGTTTTGTTGTACAGTGGTTGTAGCTGCCAAAATTTCGTTGATTTCGGTGATTTGGGGAGGTAGAGCTGTCCCTGAACTTCAGCGCGAACAAGAAGGGACTTCATTGATTGTCACCAGAGTGTTCTTCTCGAGCCAAATTTTGTGCCGTCCTACGGCATTTTGGGTCCATTTTACTAGCTCTTGTAGAAGCCACTTTTCCGACGCGTACCTCTTACAGCGACCAAAAGCATCATCTTCCCGCCTGAGATTCTGCAAGTTTTTTTTCGTTTCTGGCACCCGTCAGTAATGTTGTAGCGTTTTTGTGTAATATGCACCGCCCGCAGACCCAATGACGAGGAAAATGTGCTATACCTCCGCGTACGCAGAAATGCGCAGATTAAGTGCTGCACTTGTATCCTATCCTCCGCTTGATTGAACTGTTTCTAAAATATTAGATCCAGCTTTGTTCTCCAGTTCCTTTTGGATGCAAATGGCGAGTTGTGTATTTAATCCATGAATGGACTTGACCGTGACGTTGGTGCTCGATAAGTTAATTATAACTGAGTTTTCATGAAAATCGAATGGACAGATTTAATGGAAGCAATGCCGTGTAGATGATTCTGTCGTGGTTGGTCCATTTTAGCTTCACCTAGTTTGCCACCAGGTCATCCAGCTAAGGGGACAACACCAGCACCCCACACGGTTACTTAATAGCTGCGTTATTGTAGAACGCGTAGCGATTCGTCGTTGGGTAAAACAGACCCGCCCAAGCGCTCTGAGTCCACAGATAGCTGAACGTGACGATGTTACAAACTGGTATCCTTTGTCAGGATAGGATAGATTGAAAGCGGACGATTTGCATCCTCATGACTCTCTTAGCGCCCTGGACATACCGGAGTGTTAATCCTGCAACAGCACTAGAAGTGACTTTTTTTAACCACTTGCATACACCGAATGGATCGACGACGAACACCAACTGGCGATACATGGTTGCTTCGTGCGCGTCTTGTTAGTGGTATAGGTTACCGGGGAACGCTGTGCAAACATTGTGGTTTTCACTTGTTTAACTACCCCGACGTGTTTTGACAGTTGTGAGCCATCAGTCGGGTGTGATGAAATTCTTGGGTCTGTCCAATCCTGCTCGCTCTCCGGTCTTATTTTCTCGGGTTTACATCCGATAAAGGGCGTTCAGGTCACAGATACGGATCAGTCCAAACCACCTGTGTCACTACTTTTTTGTACGGGGTTCCGTTGGCCTAGTTCAGTGTGCAGGTAACTTCGGAGACGGATATCCGCCTACTGTAATCAGCCTGAGTTTGCAACTTTGTCCTCAATAACAAGTGTTGATTAAACCGAACACGTGTGGTAAACTGCAGTATATTCGCTTCACCTAACCTTACAATCGTTAACTTGCTTAGCTTCTCGTGCCTCTTCTGTTTTTCTAGTATCAAAAAGAGATGATGACTTTGTACAAGATGTCAGGTCGTTTGGCAACCACATCAGGCACTCGTCCGTTGCACTGTTTGTCAGTGGAGAACAAGGAACTAGAACAGCTACGTGTTGAAAATCAGGTCTTGTGTGATTCACTGGATGACCACGAGATCGCCATCGATGTTGTGATGAACAAATATCGTTTACAGGTAGGATTACTCCGTGTCTCAGTTTCGTTGCCTTCGAATCATCCAATGAGTACCCTAAGTAAAGTAAATACCCCATGAAAAGACGACTCCCGCTCTTCACATAATTATCCGACTGAAATGCCTTTACAATGCAAGGATATCGGGTAAAGGGTACCCTTTCTTTCTGTACAAGTTCAGCGGAACCCGAAGGCAAACCGTTGTGCGTGAACCTGTTTAGACGTGCAAACTGGTCGGCGGATGCATGGTTCTATGATTAACAACCTTGAGCAGTTAACCAGAAGGTGTCACATGCCAGATCCCCATTTTCCCAAGTAAAGAATTATGGACTTTGTTCGATTAGGATTTTTGGATCTTTACTATCGCGGTTTATCTATTTATGCCTGTTAGTTTTCTACGTTTGGGCTCCATTACTCGCTGCGAGCTGGTGTGAGTTACAGTACTCAGTGGGCTCACAAGGGCGGCGATTTGGTGAGCAGCGTTTGCTTTCTAAGATTATTGACTTTTATCTTGTGAGACACTATCAGGCCGTAATGAAACTCTGGCTGTTTCAAGCTCTTTTTGACTCATCTGCAGTGTGTACCTTGCAAATTCACCAGGTGAGGTGAATCCGCAGTCTTCTGGACAGTGGTTGTCCGTCACGAAGAAACTGAAATTTACCGTATTATGACGGTTTTTGAACCTCCGTGACCCGTTGAGCTATATTGGAGTATGTCCGTTCGACACTCAACTTCTGTCATACCAAGTTGCTCAATTTTTAAAGTTCTGACCATCATAGTCTCCTGGTCCTTCAGGTCGGCGATCGGAACATTTTGTAGCATATAATGCACTGGTCTGTCTCGTCATATACCGCCTCACCGCGGCCGGTCCTTTGAGCCAAAAACTCTGGTTGTCAACCCTAGTCGTCCTGTTGGCTAAGTTTGAATGCTCTGGGAGTATTCCACCCTGCATACAACCATAATTCCTGTAACTGAAAATACTGTCATACGACTTCGGCCGCTGCGTGGTTTCACCAGCCGGATTACCTAACCCGCTGCATACAGAAGGGCTGACATCTCTCTTTCGACACCATTTACTCTTTCTTCTCCTTCCCCCAACCTCCTTTTAGACCTCCGTTTTAGGTCCATCCGCTAGGACTGCCACCACATTCGTATTGCACTGGTAGTGACCGCGACTTCTATGGGTCAGTCAGCACCGACAGCCTCATGCGTTTGGAAATCAATCTTCAAGCTTCGGTGTCCGGTTTATCTGGCTGCTTTTAGTGTTCTTACTCTGAAGCAAGCAAGATAACAGACTCTGTTGTGTGCTGCATATCAGGAACAGGACTTCAAGATCCCAGCATAGTTGCCTAGCCAACTGACCCATCACTATCCACGTGCTTCTGGCTAGGAACTTATAGCGATCCGGAGGCTGCTGCGGCGGGATGTACAGAGTTCGGAATTGCCATAAGTCACCAGCCGGTAGGGTCTTTGCTTGGCTGAATACCTCTTGATAGTCGCCTGTGCGCTGTTCGTCCGGTAACAGAGAGAAAAATTCATTGTTACTGCCAATCATGTTTGCTTACTTCCCAACCGTATTTATCTCTAAATTCATCAAAGGCAACTTTTTTGACGCCCTGGGAGCTCTATTACGGTTGGCTAGAAGCTCAGGTGTCATTGCACTTGTTGGAGACATGAGTAGACAAATGGGCAGAAAAGGCGCATTTAAGACTCACTTAGGCGGCCGAGATGGATTGGACTCGATATGCACAAACCGTGGCGAACGACTGCTTCAGCTATTTTTCGACCCTGAACTGTTTTTATGCAGTACCAGCTTCCAAAGTCTTCTGGCCAGATAGTTTTCTCCTACAGCGTTCTAGCAACGGATCCAGATTGATCACATCATCATCAATTGCAGGTGCCGCTGGTCAATAACCGACTGCCGCTCGTTTTTGGACACTCATGTGAATTCTGACCATGTACTTATCCATGCACTTACTTATGGGGGCGAGGTGGACCAAGTGGCTAAAGCGCGAATTTACTGACCAGAAGGTCCGTGGTTCGAACCCGACCTCTGCCTCTCGACTTCCCCCTGTCTAGCTTGTCCAACCCAACAGTGTCTCAGCTCTCGTGCTTCCTCCCGGTAGCATGGCAGCTAGACACCGAAAAGGTGCTACAGCTGAACGATGTATTTTTATTTTATGTACTTATCCGGAGTGGTTTTTTTCTGCTTCCCATGGTAATGTAAGTGGGAGACAACTAACTAGACAACTGAGGGGCTTGCAGATCCTGAATTTAAACGAATTTGTCAGGACGGCTTTCTGAATTCTCTCCCAACTGCTCCACCGTCGAACATCGAGTCGCACTGGACCGAGATTGCCAAATCCTTTACGGCGCTGGCATTCTTGATTGCGGTGTGGGACCGCCAGCTTCATTCAAGCATTGGATATCAGGCAGAACAGTGGGGCTGCTCGAATCTCGGATAAACGTTTTCATCAGTCCTGAACCTAATTCAGACTGACGAACTTTCAGACGTCGAGTAAAACTTAGCGGGCGTGAAGCTTGATGAACACAGATGGCTACGGAAGTGGAAGGTACACAGAACGCTGGGGATGTCTGAAGGTTACTTCGGTTGATCCGTGCGACTGGCCCTCGAAAACCGGCTGTGAATCATTGAAGATCACTTGCGTGCCACCATTTTTAACACAAAAGAATGCCACTGGGTCGAGCACTTTGAAAAATAGTTCTACTGATTTCGCTCAGTCGGATTCTCGAACTGCGCTAGAACCGTGGACGGTGAATCGGAGGCTCCTTATTTCTTTGGAGGTTTATGACTGCTTGTGTTCTCTTAAGCGCCACAGAGTTCCTGGTCCGGATGATTTCCCACCACATTCAGCGGTTGTTTAATCTTCTTGCCTCTATGTACGAAAATAAGACTGTCTCAGACGCTGCTCATTTTCAAAAAAGGCCCATTGGTGAGTGCGCTAAACGGAAGGTTTACTTTGACTGGAGTCATGATGAATCTCTCGGGTTCACTTTTCTATCGTCAGCTTATGGTGACCCATAAAGCATTGACTCAAGAGCAGTAACAGGATTTCGGCCAGGTAGGTTTGCGTCGACTGCATCTTCACATTCATTAAGGTGCTAGAACAATCTTATAGTGAAGTACATGCCAAACTGTGCACCAGAGTTATTTAGGTTATTTGAAGCGGCTTGCATTCTTGCAGGATTTGAACCAAGGAGAGCATCATCGTCCGCATACTCAACGTCTGTAACCCACCGTCCCGGGAGCATTTGACCCCCGAGGTTTCAGAGACAGGTAGAGGAATTTCAAGCAGCACATCAACAACATATTTGAAAAGAAAATCTGAGACAGGGCAGCCCTGTCTCAGGCGAAGGCTTTCCGTACACTCGTTCGCGTACAAGTGAAATGTGGAACATCCACGCTCGCCCCAGATGAGTTGAGATGCGCGACCGAAGTGGGGTCTTGTATCCCTGTTTCATAGACACAACTTAATCGACAGGGAGGGAAAGGAAGGTTCCAGCAAGGCTAAGGTCGGCATAGACTATGGAAAAACTGCATTATTCGATGGAAGCGGGGGAGTGTTCTAGGTCAGTGTGCGAAGGGCTGCAAGGGTGAATGATACTTCCCGCTTGCCCAAGCCGAAGGAAGAGGACTGGTTGAGGCACCCCATGATGAGCCGTTGACTCTTGAGTCTGATCCACAAGGCAGGGAGGATGCAGTGTTTTGTTCAGGAACTCTACCTTAGACCTCTGACCCGAAAGTCTGAACCATGAAGCAGCAGTTGGTAGGGTTTTCCTGAGGGATCCTTCCCGGAGCCAATGGCTCAACAGTTTGACTCACTTGGCCTACCTGTCCCGAAGAAACAGGGAATAGGGCATTATTGTCTCCCTCCTAATTCAGCTGCGCACAGGTGCCTTTTGAGCAACACCAGACTCTTTGGTTTTGAAAGTATTACGACTGTATTGAATAAGGCGCTAGCGGTCATGGTCAACCGTTGGGTGATCGGAGTGTGCGGTCTTTAGGGCCGACCTTTTCTAACCCGTCCTTCCTAGGCGAAGGCATCGTCGTTGCTTCCATGAGTTTGTACATGCTAGTCGCCGGGGGAAAACACCTTACTGCCTTCACACTTCTATCGCAGAGGACAGTATGACTTTACCTCCAGACGGCCTCGTAATACTCGCAGTACGAGGACTCGCTGTTCTTCTTCGGGCTGCTCCCCTTTGGTCTTCTTAGCACGGTTGAACCTGTAGAAACCGAGCTCCAGTCAGTATAGTTCGCAGAATCATCGCGCAGCACAGAAGCTATGCCACTGCGACGAGATGACAGTTTTAGGTCTCGCTGTTCGAGAGCTTTTGTGCAAAATAGTGTGTCCGGAGAGCATATCCAGGCTTTCCATTCCTATCCAGTTTCGTGGTCTACGAGACAAGGGGACGAACACTGGAACTTCTTCGATACTCTTGCGTTCAAGTCGTTGCTGACAAAACCATTGATCTTGAATATGCAGACGACCTCTTGTATTCGAAGATGAGGAGAATACAGGGATCTTTGAGTGATCTGACCAGAGCCATCCCGTCCTTTGGCATGTAATTGTAAGGTTATGCCTGTGAGCCTGTAGCCACTGAATACGCCACTAAATCCAAGGAGCGTTTTACTTATCTTGGAAGTTTTATAAGTTCTAGTGGTGGTTTGACGGTTAATGTACGAGTCTTTATGACTCGGATCGCGTTTGCTAATTTTGAAACACTCATGGCGGCGAAGCACTATATCCCGGAATCTACAGAGGATGTGTGTATCACAGTGCAGTTCGTGCTGCTCTGTTGTGTTGCAGCCAAATGGAGACGTCTTAAGATCTTCGATAGCCGTTGTCACACATGGAGCTGACGAATCCGCAGCGACACAATTAGAAGGCAAGTGTTCGATTGTACAACAGGGACTTCGGTTGCAGCATGTGCCGGCATCAGAAAGTGCGATGGTTTGGTCATTTATTGCGCAGAAGGGTGTTTTCTCCGTAACCAGCTCAGATTGGTACAACGTAAAAGGTGGACAACTTTTGACCCCATAGGGTTATGAAGTCGATTTCGAAAACTCTGGGTGCCGTCGGCACGACTCGTCTTCCAGGGTGGGGTCTGCGTGATTCCCCTTGTGCATGACTGGAGACGCTACAAAATATGTCTGTTAGTCAATGTCACTGGCACAAAGGTTGCCAGTTTCCTTCCAGATTATCTGGTTGAGTGTCTTGAGGTGTAGACACTGCGGAGTAATGGGGGAAGGCTAGCATTGGGTCCCTTTTCCATCCCATTGTCTTTTTTCGCAGTAAGTCTTTTAAATGAACTATGGTTGTATGGCAGCGAACCATCGGTTTTGAACACTGGTACTGTGTTACGGATGGCGATGGTGGATAGTAGCCTAACGTTCAGCTACAGATGGCTGATCCGCATTATGTTTCTCTACTTTTCAGTATAGATTCCCCCTACCCTAATGGTGACATCCACAAATCGATTCCCCTTCATCATCATTGGGTATTTGAATTACCTTACAAGTTTTTTTACTTGTTTTTATGCTTTTCTATGGTATTCAGAACCACTAAAAATGGTTCAACCATAACACTTCGTCGGTGCTTAGCTGCCATGCCATCCAAAGGAAGCATGAGGGCTGGAATAGTGCCAGGTTACCCGAGCATAAACAGGGGAAATCGAGAAGTTGTGGTCGGTAAATTCGCGCTCTAACCACTGGTATGTGTTAACCGCTGGGAGGCTCCCTAGATGAGCACCCGGATATTAGATATAGCTTTTTGTTAGTTCATAAATTCTGTTGATTGGCATACCGTCCACAAAAACTTGGATTGGTTTGGTTTACATGTCTTTCTCAAGTTATGCTATCTAGTTTAGGTATTTTGTGGCTAAACTTAGTGGTTCCGCCGTGAGCTTGAACTTTTTCAGTCTGGCGGTCGTTGGGACGCCAGTGGTTCCTCCGATCGTATGGTGCCGTTGTTCGTACACCCACAGTGGTCCCGGGATATAAGAATCGGCTGTCATGGTTGGACACCTAAATGCCTGAGCTATGCCTACAAATGACCATGACATATGCAAAGCATAAGGCACACAAGGTATAAACTTTTTGCGAATACATAACGGTTGTGTTGAGTAGCTGAAATGCACCAACTTCAGCTGTTTGTCGCAGTCCCCTTTCTGAAAACTGAAAAGCGAATTGGTAGAGTAATCGTCAACTGAAACAATTGTAAAATGACTGTCTGACACCGCCATGTGCTCATAAAGAGTTTGGCCACATTTTACGCTCGCTAAACAAACTCAGTTTGTGATGAAACTCTACAGAAATAAAACTCCAATCTACGAATAAACATAACTTTTTTCAGTAATCATGGTGATGACTCAAAATAAACCAGCTATTGCTCATCAGTTGTGGGATCGATGTTTGTAAGGGGGCTACTTTTATTGGTATCCCTGCTGATAGGGTAGGTGAGATCGTTTGATAAGTACGTTTTGAATAAAAAAAAGTTACTCACCGAGTTTTGGAAAGATAAATGACTGCAAGAGCAAATAAAATAAAGCATAGTGGATAAACAGTTGCTCAAACAAACCATTTTCCCACAACGATTGTTTCCAGGCAAAGACCATTTTTGTTTTCCCCAGCGGGGCCAAATAAGGAGATGACCGTGACTTATAGGAAATTACCGAGGAGACTAGCTTCATCAGGACGAAATGGATTTCGAACAGAACATAATGGAAGTCCAGAGACAAATGCAGCTCATGTGGCTGACGGCAGCAACACCGTGTTGACTAATCCACGCTTATTTACCACTACTAGGTTTTGTGTGAGTAGCGGGAAACGTAAGCCTAGTCTATCCACCCCTCGCAGCTTACCGTTAGGTGTACTTTCAGTCTGTCTACATTGCCAACCTTGTTCCACGGCACACCGAAAGAAAACCAACCAAGTGGGCGAGTGAGTCATTGAGTGGATCCCACCGTTAACAGGAACCTGTACAACTTCCAGGTCTAGCTTTACTGGGGGCGAGATGGCCCAAGTGGTTAGAGCGCGAATTTACTGACCGGAAGGTCCGTGGTTCGAATCCGACCTCCGCCACTCGACTTCCCCTGTCTAGGCTTGGGCAACCTGGCAGTATCCCAGCCCTCGTGCTTCCTTCGGGTAGCATGGCAGCTAGGCACCAGAAGGATGTTACAGCTGAACGCTTTCTTTTTACATAGTAAACAATCAAACTGCAGTTTGCAATAACCCGAGTAGCGGGAAACGTAAGCCTAGTCTATCCACCCCTCGCAGCTTACCGTTAGGTGTACTTTCAGTCTGTCTACATTGCCAACCTTGTTCCACGGCACACCGAAAGAAAACCAACCAAGTGGGCGAGTGAGTCATTGAGTGGATCCCACCGTTAACAGGAACCTGTACAACTTCCAGGTCTAGCTTTACTGGGGGCGAGATGGCCCAAGTGGTTAGAGCGCGAATTTACTGACCGGAAGGTCCGTGGTTCGAATCCGACCTCCGCCACTCGACTTCCCCTGTCTAGGCTTGGGCAACCTGGCAGTATCCCAGCCCTCGTGCTTCCTTCGGGTAGCATGGCAGCTAGGCACCGGAAGGGTGCTACAGCTGAACACTAGCTTACTGAACTTGGATGACAGCCCAAACACGGAAGCCATAGAGCTAACAAGCTGGTTAATTGGGTCTGACACTAACTGTGCGATTCGAGGCCGTATGTGCTAGTCACAATAAAGGGTAAACGTGAAATATATCATTTCAACGTAGACTGAAGGAAGTGTCAATTAGCATTTTACGACTGGTAGAACTCTGAATCGGGCGTTTTCCAGTGACATGTCCAAAAGCTAAAATGCCGCCTGATGCTTACTGTGACGCATCAGCAGTTTCCTATAAGAAGAGTGACAAGACCAGACAATAAGTCAAAGTAAAAAAATAAACAAAACAGTCGGACGGATTTTACAGAAAAAAAAAAAACAAAATTCATGTTTGAGAGGACACAATGAGTACCTGGAATTTTTGCTGTTCGATAACTACAGAACCCACGCAATCGCCGTCAGACGTGTAAAAGGCCACCGTTTTCCCAGAGCTAGCTTCATTTCTAATCCGCGGTCGCCCTACTTCAGTGCCGTCTGAAGGGTCGAACTGAAATATAGAAAGAGTTGACAATGCAATCATTAACATAGCAGACTTTCTAAATCCTTTATACATCAGTCGGTTTTGTCACCAGTAGAACAAATGGGCTCCCGATGGTGTAGGTTACTCGTGAAGACTACACTTACGGTCTACTTGAAACATTTCGTCATTGAAACTTCAAGTACCTACCTCTTCTAACTGTATATTTGTGAGCTTGAGGATCGCTGAATTCCAGTGAAGCAGTAAAAGTGATATAACCGTATGCAATAGACCGATGAGACGGAATGAGACAGATCGTGGCCTTGTTGATTAAACGTACTTTTTTAAGTTCGAAATTCACGTCATCTTGATTGGCCGTACAGAGGGCTTCCTTAAAAGGGATGGCGGATGATATACACAGGACGGTTACACTATCGTTTGCCGTTCCCCCCACAGCCATTTCTGCACGTGTCCGCCTTTTTCATGATGGCTTTGTTTTTGATCAAAACCGAGGCTCCCAGTAGAAGTAATTAAGTGTTATAACATCCCACTTCCTCAATTTATTGAATAAGTACAGTAACCCGGACCAGGATAGGCATATATATTTTCTCCCAAAACTAGCGCTATCATGATTCATCGGCTCAGCAGCTAGAATTTGCCCTTAGAGTTCCATCCATCGCATTTCGCCCCTAAACATGTGTGCAGGTGAATAATCATTTGCGAACTGCAGCGCAAAGACTGCCCTTGGTTTCAGTAATTCCCCGGTACCAAGCACTTTATTCCCGGCAGTATACTGTTTATAAAGACTTGCACGTACCCAATTAGTCACCACTGCAGGGAGACACGCCACTATCTTCATTGTCGAGCAAGCAGCATCCCGGGCAGACTTTTCACAGCAGGCTCATTTGAGTATCACTCTTTTTGATTCATAAGTTTCATGTTGGCCAGATTTCGGATTGCACGTGAGTGTCCCACCCTATGAACAATAAAGTACTTTTTGTTCTGAACAGTCTTCTCATGCTACTTAGACCCAGTACTGTTTCTTATTATCAGTTCGCATCCTCAGGTTGTTAAAAAGTTAGTATGTTCTCAAGACAGTTACACTGGATTTAAATATACGTATCTGCGGTTGAGAGGTGACGGTAGAATAACTTGCTACCACAATAACCATGCACACGCCATATATCTTCATGGTCTCGTCTGTTTTGTAACACACTAGCATTCGAGTACTTAAGAGGAGATTTTGTACTTCTAGTCGTATGAATGATTCGGTTGGTGCACGTCGGTTTGAAGTCGTTGGGATCAAGTTAGTTTGTACAATTTGTGCATTTCACCAATATACGTGAATATCAATCTGCGCTTCAACCATTCTGTCCAGGGATCTGTTGGGAGCTTTCAGAGAAGTGACACAACCATACCATTTATTACAAGGGAGGACTGTTGTTTATCTTACGATGTAGACTCATGAAACTGCCTTTTAAACTTGGAACTACTTCTATTTACTAGAGAGTTACGTTTGTTTTTGCGTAGACCCGAAAACCTTCGAGAATGCAGCTCGTTCAGATAGAAGTATTATTGATCTTAATGCTAACTACTATCACCATTTGATTGACCAACCAACAGCTGAGCTCTCTAACCTCTACTGAGGCTGATTACAAATATGTCTCATCTCTGCAATGCTCGTACGTTGCCCAGTGCATTTTTGACGCACGTATTTTTCTTTTCTCCCAGATATCAAATTTGGTGCGAGGCATTCACACCGATCAGCCCTGTGTATCGGAGGACTGTCGAAATGACCTATGTGGGAAACGTCCCGAACTAGCCTTCAATCAGGGATTTGCGCAGGCTCACCTGACAGAAGCGCGATATCAGAGCAAGGAAACCGAACTGCCCGAATACGATTTTCTTGCTAAATCTTTGCTCACCGCACAGATGAGCAAACTGACTTCATTGGCCAGGGATATCTGTGATCAGGGGGATGCCTACTCCGCTCAGCTCCAAACGGAGTTGCATCGTTTAAGGTCCGAAAATGCTGGCCTGCGTGAAGTTTTGATGATCTCTTCGGACTTCCCTGTGGACCAGACTGACGCCATTGAGGTTGCAACTCCTGTTGAATTAACGGAATCTGAAAGCCCTGGATGCCGCCAGAACAAACTAGCCATGCGTGCCAGTCTCCCTTTATCATCACCTGGTGCGAACAACTTCACTTCTGATCAGCAACCAAAACCAATTCACACAGGAGGTCCGTCCATTACGATGTCTACCTTGGGTGAACTCACTACTTACGAGGCTGTTGAGCGTGAGCAATACTGCACCGGTGACCGTTTATTTGGACGAAGTGAGGATGTGGAGGAAGATGACGATGACGATATGACTGTTGCAGATGGCAGTGAAATTGTCGATTAGTTCCTTAGTGTGGACATGCTGCCACGTTGTATACCTATTCGGCTGATACCCAACAGAAAAGTACTCAACACGCACAGCAACTCTGCTGTTTCACCGGATGCTTTCATTTTGCGTTTGTTGCTTCGGTACGCAGACCCGTCTCGAAAAGATAGACACGCCTCGTTTGAAGGGGTCCCCAGCTGTATCAGTGGCCCAGCTTGCCATGTACTGCGCCATTAAAGTGACAGGACTGTAACAAGTTCCTTTTCGTCTCGCTTTGTTTTCAGTTTTACTGTCCCACTATCCTTCGAACGCCCACTGTGTACCATCCTATGATCTCAAAAACTACCATTGGTGTTTTTTATGGATTATACGTACTCGTACTAATCCTAATCTCCATCACCCCAAGTCAATATGGTTATTTTTTCGTTTGATATGATACGTGTGGTGTTTGCCCAAGGTCCTGTTCGAATTGGATGTGAATCCTCTCTTTTTGTTTGTACATTTTGAAAGCTGGATTAGACATGTCTGCAATATCAACACGCATATGAATGATGGCTCTTGTGTGTAGCTCTCGTCTCACGCAGCCCAGCATCCTTTGTGACTCACTCCAATAGTCACTGAGCAGGATAAAGATTTAACTAAAATTGTCATCAGAGGTATAAACAGAGATTCACTCAACCTCCGGAGGCCGTCTGGGCGCAGTTTGATTATTGCTCTTCTGGACGTGCTGATGTTCTTCGAACCCGAGATAGTCAGACCAGATGACGGGCAGCTGATTATGAGATCCCTTTCCAGTTGGAAAGTGGCTGATCCGCAGATTTGGGCAACAATGACCACACTATCTTGTTTGTATTTTGAAGACACTTTGCATCAATGTAACGTATAAAATTATGAAAGACTGCTCGACTCTAAAGAGGTCGCATTTCCAGTCTAGGACCTAATGTATTAGTGCAAATTAATCAGTCCAGTTCCTTTGGAATTCAGGAGTCGGGCAAGCCTGAGACGGACACGAAATCGTATCCGAATCAGACGTCCCACAGTCATTCTAGAAGGTGTTCCTATGGTAAGCAGCACATAGGTGACCCACGCGATGGTCTATTCGTCTGAACCTGCAACACACTTGTGCATCAGTTAGTTGTTTGGTCAACAACGCAATGAAAAAATTAGATGACTTAGTTTCTTGCACTCTCGATCACCGTAACCTGCGTAAAACAACACGAAAAAAGAGTGAGCTTGCACTGGCTTCTAGGTTTTATCTAATTGGTTGATAATGCCATGGCAATTTCCATATCGAACGTAAGCTTCTAACCTAAACTTGGTTTTGGACAGTGGATCACTAAAGCTTCGAGAAACCAGATTCAGGTGTGTCGTATGTCGTGATCACTAGGAAAGATAAACTGATTTGTACTTTATCTCAGAATCGCTAAGTGAAGTGGTAGTTTCAGAGGGGTTTGTTGAACAATCGGTGGATTTATTGCTGGGCAACGTGTCGCTTTTGACACAAGCTTCGTCAGGTCAATTGATTGAAGTGGTAGTTGTTTGAGTAGATGGTGCCCTTCATGCATTGTATCTGTGGTACGGATTTGCCTCGTCGTGTGCTGAAAGATTCAATGTAGAGTTCGGTCATGTGGTTACAGACGAAGGCATTGCTCAGTCTGCGTAAGCATTCGATGCGCAGATCGCGGTAAAACCAGAGGTTCTGATCAGGTCGTCTAGGAATGTGAGCTGGTCGCCAGCCTCATTTCACAATCGAGTTAGAAAGCAGTAACTTGAAAATTGTAAGCAAATTTTCAACCCGTATTTGACTTGCAGATAGCAAATACCATTTATGTGGTAGGATTTTGTGAATTTCTGGTTAAGGTAGCCGGTGTACGTCAGGTGTAAGGTGACTGTCTCCATATCGAATGGTACTGAGTCATCGTACACCTTTCATAAGGCTCATAGTTTAGTATCCTATAAAGATTGGTGTCCCATTTCATTTGAAAAAAACCTGCATGCTATTTGGCTCTGCGATCTGTACACGGACCAGTGTGTAAAAATTGAAACTTTTCATCTGTTTCTTCGGTCCGCGTGCCAGGGCACTTTTTTCCGGATCAGCTTTAGTCATCCAGCTTTGTATTCCGTTCTAGTTGCCACCCGTTTTCACCAAGCAAAGTACACTTCGTACTGGAAACCTTTCAGTTATTATTGCTGCGTTGCAGACTTGCCGATGACGAGAAAATGAATTCTGCAATCTGAAAATGTTGCCACCCTCACCAAGCAAAGTACACTTCGTACTGGAAACCTTTCAGTTATTATTGCTGCGTTGCAGACTTGCCGATGACGAGAAAATGAATTCTGCAATCTGAAAATGTATTGTCATCCCGTAAGTGGATTTCATCGAATTGTTCAAACACCAAAGAAATCATCGTGGCCCGATAATGATAATAATTGCGATTTTCAAGACTTCAAGTAGTTCAGTGTCCTTTCACACTTCGAGAGCTTTCACCTTCATATTCCTGGGCGATTGCTGCTGACTGCGTGCATCCCCAAGGGACATAGAATTCACCGTAGACATGGAAAGTGCCTCCTCAATGAGACCTAGGACTCACCTAAAAGTTATTTTAACTGAGAAAATATTCCTTTAGCTTTTTATAGATGCAAACAAAAGCTTGAACAAGCCAAACGACGTGCAGAAAACGGCAAAAGCTAGCTCGATACTGTCCTGTTCCACTGAGTTGATTTGGTGCTATTGCGGTTATGTGGTCTTAGATTGACGCTTACTTCATAATCATACTAATGGCGAATCCCTGGTTCACCTTGCGTTTTGCGCCATTCTGAAGCAGGCACAGAGAACAACACCCGTCTCGGTGTATAGTATTTCGGCATGCGTAGAACGTTGGCCTGGCCATCGTATCGGTGGTGATGGATGTTTTCCGCGATTGAAGTAGCTGCTGCCCAAATACCCATTTTCTAATCACCTCGTTACTAATCCGTTGATTCCAACCAAAAACCAGCAACGTTTCTGAGGCATTTGTTGTAGAAAAAAGCATGGAGACGCCTCATATCTATCCGCAGAAGCCATATCTCGCATCCGAACTAAAACACAGCCCTTTTTGTAGCCTGGTGCACGCTACCCTTGAAACCCTTCTTGACACCACAAGTGGTGCAAATTATCTATCGTGATTCAGACCTTTGAGATTCCTGCATGGATTTCATCAGACACACTTCTGTAGGGGGTGATACAACCACCGAGGTATGTAAAATTCTGCACAACCTCCAGTGACTTTGAATTGTAAGGGATATGTTCAGAGACTGTCCGTTCTGAAGCACGCCTTTGCACTTTGAAAGTGCTATGCGCATGCCGAAAGATAGTGTGACGGTGGTCAGTCTATTTAACAGGGCTTGTGCATCGCCTTAATCTTCAGAGATGAGGGCTTTATCGTCTGCTTACTCCACGTCGACGACGTCCTCACCAGCAACAATTTGAACACGAGTTTTAAAGACCGTCTGAAGTTCACCTCAGTATTTCATCAGTTGTGAATGTGAACAAGAATGAAGGGAGTGGACATCCTTAGAAGAGATCACATTTATAGGGAAGCTTTTGGAGAGCTCACCATACATTCTCATGCTCAAAATTATGTAAATGTAGGGATCGGATAACGTTCATAGACTTCTGGGACATACCCTGTTGAGCGAGTGTAGTTAAAAGCAGGTCGACAGATTCGAACGCACCCTTGAAGTCAAGGAATACCAAGATTGTGGGTCGCCTGTACACATGACGTTGCTGTAACATCTGACGACGTGTGAAGATGTGGTCCACGCAGCCTCTGCTCGATCGAAATTCCGCTTCATTCTCACGAGTCAAGGTTTCGCGTGTCACCGTGAGACGACGAAGAATCAGTGACGCCAGAAAACCTGATACAACAGGAGTCAAACTAATACCTCTGTGGTTACTGCATTCACTGCGAGTACCATATCTGAAAGTAGGCACTACTGTCGGTTCACCTCATTTACCTGAGACGGTCTCTTTCTTCCAGATAGACCTAAATAGGCTAGACAGGTACTGACTGGGAAACCCACCAGCGTCCTTGAACAGAGCAGGTAGAAGGTCATCAGGGCTAGCAGCATGAAGACGCTTGAGTAGAGATATTCGGAGACTTTTGAGACTGAAGGTGGCTCTATTTTCACAGTGCACGAGGATTCCGGATTAGAAGTAGCAGGTGTCCAACTGAATGCCCGTTCAAAGTACTATGCATGACAGTCCGCGGATCGACCGGACAAGTCAAGTGAAACAGCTTGCGTACGTTTCAATCATTTTTTCACCTTCCATTTCGTCGGCCTTTCGGGTCAAGCAAGCTTCGGTCTGCACGGACACTCAGTTTCACCTGGCTTTGGATGATGTGTCTGGTGAAGTTGTGTTCACGGCCAGGGGGAATCTGTCACCGGGTCTCCAGCAAAGACACGGTCCTACCAGAGACCCAGTTTTTGGATGAGGCCGGCTGGGTTGTACCGCAAACAGAAGCTCCGGGTCTGAGTATCGCTTTGGATATATTTTCCTAGTGGCTGTTACTATCCTGCATAGTACCGCCTGACATCCTTTCTAGGAGCCGGTTCTGATATTTTCGTTTGATCTCTCGGTCCACTAATTTCTCACTGGCTAAGTGAGGTGTGCGCATTTTGCGTAGACCCGAAAAGTGCAGTGGAAAGCAGCAGGGTATAAGTGCATGGTCGGAGTCCATGCCGGTGTTTCAGAAGCAGAAATTGACCATTGCCACTGATATGGTCTATTTGGATTCGGGGCTAGCTCGTTCGTGTCTACCATATTGCCAAGCGATTTTGACTGTTCCAGAAATTGGTCCTGCAATGGAACAGTTTGTGATCAGCGCACACCTTGACAGGATGATCTCCGTTGTCTGTGAGTCTCGAGTTCAATCCTAGACGACCGACCGATCGGATCTCATCAGCGCTTAGTCTGGGTACCCGGGGATTCATGCTATCAGCAACCGTAACGATATCTGAGCTTTTGGCCCATTGCAAAATAGCACCTTGAGCGTCATATAAACAGTCTGGTGAATTCAGAGCTACTGTCAGCTAAGGCGCAACGATCCAATAAACAAGGCACGATGGACCTCACGTTCTCTAAATTCTCCCACAGATGTTACCAAACGAACCGCGCAGAGGCGAGTACCAACGGGTATCCAATGATACAGGGACGCTTCCGATCGGTCGCTCAATACAGTGCCCATCCGGACATATCCAGCTGCACGGGCCTCTGCATCCCCGGAGATGCGCAACTGGAAGACTGGTGGTCAGTTACATCACAGTACTTCCGTCCTATCCCCTGGTGTCTGACGGACAGCATGCATCAATACAGAGGGAATATGGCGTTACGTGCAAGAGCCACCAGGTAACCTGCTTGCGTCAGTGTGCGAGCATTAAAGGCGGCTAAGTAGACAGGCTCTCGGCGTTTGAAAACAAACTATGAATTGTTTCGGGTTGTCACTGAAGTCGGACGTACAAAAGCTGCAGCTAAGTATAATGAATGATGAACAAAACG